AGGATCTCCAACATTGAACTGTGGGATAGAGCAGGGCAAAAAACAGCTGAAACACAGATCCTTCAAAGGAAGTGGGGCTGGATAGGACACACCTTGAGGAAACCACCATCCAGTATCACACACCAGGCCCTAACCTGGAACCCACAGGGAAAAAGAAAGAGAGGAAGGCCCAGAAATAGTTGGAGAAGAGACACTGAGGAGGAGATGAGGAGAATAGCGAACAGCTGGGAGGACCTGAAGAAGACAGCCCAGAGGCGGGTGAAGTGGAGAGCCATCGTCGGTGGCCTATGCTCTGGCAGGAGCGAAGGGCCAAAGTAAGTAATGTCTGGAGTTTGCAATTTTGAATAAACCATTCTACTAATCAATTAAACGTACTCGTAGAACGTTTGGAGCTTCAGCTGCTGATAGCACTCGTATCATAATGGCTAAGACCTTGAGTATTGGATTATGATTTTGTTTTCGACGCATTAGACTTTAATATTGTTATGTTTACTGTATGTTTTCCTCCTTAAAGTTTGTTTTACTGTATGTAACCTTGTCATGTGGCAAGCTGGGCCCCCTTGAGAAACAGCCATTTTAGGCTGAATGGGGCCACCCAGCCGTCTTGAGATTGAATAAATGAATAAATAAATAGATAAATTTCACCGGATACATTCTGTAGATGTACCTCTAACATCATTTGTTAAGTCAATAGAAATATTTACTGAACGGCTTGCCTTTATTTGCCCACATGTTTTTATTTGCAACATTTAAGCAGTTAAGAACCCTGGTGGCGCACATATTTCCTCTGTATATTCTGTACTCAATATACGTTATCACAAATAAACAATTTACAAACTACCATGCACAGGGTCTATCGTTTTCAGTGGAATCGAAACTGTGTGTGGGTCAAGGACAGGCATGTTTCCTTGTGTGTGGATGATGTTCAGTACTTAGGACAAGCATGTTTGCCTGTGTGGATGGTGTTCAGTACCAAGGACAGGTGTGTTTGTGTGTGGATGGTGTTCAGTATCAAGGACAGGTGTGTTTGTTTGTGTATGGATGGTGTTCAGTAACAAGGACAGGCATGTTTGTGTGTGGATGGTGTTCAGTAACAAGGACAGGCATGTTTGCCTGTGTGGATGGTGTTCAGTACCAAGGACAGGTGTGTTTGTGTATGGATGGTGTTCAGTAACAAGGACAGGCATGTTTGCCTGCATGTGGATGGTGCTCAGTACCAAGGACAGGCATGTATGCCTGTGTGTGGATGGTGTTCAGTAACAAGGACAGGTGTCTTTCTGTGCAGACGGTGTTCAGTACCTTGGGCAGTCATGTTTGCCTGTGTGTGTGTGGTGTTTTCCACGCATTGTACCATTGCAATTTGCTGTGCAATCAAGTTTATTCATTCATTTTATTCATTTCATGCAAACCAAATATTACATACAGCAAGTAGTGCTAATTAAGCGGCAGCTGCAATTTCTAGGATTCGCTATATACTACTGAGACTTCAGCTTGCCGCTACTTTTACGGAAAATCTTTCTATAGACAAGAGAGCAGCTGCACCAGATGAGCACAAGAACAGCTGAAGAGACGGACAGCAGGAAGGCAGCCACGTCCAGCAGGTAGTACTGGTACCACGGCAGCTCCACGGCGCGTGCGCGAAGATGGGGCAGGCCGCCATGTTGGATGACGTGTTCTATCCACCAGACGGCCCGCTCCATGGGTGACTGGGGCTGGTCACGGTGCAGACAGGACAGGCGGGCGGCCGTCTCACGGTAGCTAGTAACGGGAAAACAAGGACAGGTGTTGATTAGACTAATTGAAAGAAAAGTGTAGTGTTTGCTAGTATGCTTTAGCTTTCTGGTTACTCTTGTCTAAAATGATTGTCACCAACAATTGTGAAAATTGCTAGTGACGGGCAAACAAGGACAAGCTTTCTGGTTATTCTTGTTTAAAATGGTTTTCATCAGATCAACAATTGTGAAATAAATTTGCGAAAAACGTATCAATTTCAACTCACGAGTTTCCCATTCCATATATATATAATGCATAGCGTCTGGGTGTTATTTGCATATCACAGGAAGGTATCCTGTTGACGTTATACAGCTTGTTTTTTCGTGTGTTTTGAGGATTTGGGTCATTTCATGCTCGACATTAACCAACTTACTATGGGTTGAATCTTACAACAAATAGAGGATGAAATTTTGGTGTTCTTTTTACCATGGAACATGTGGTTTGTAACATTGCAGTGATAACGCTTTACTGTCTGTCAATATAGAAGGATTGTAATGTTACAAACAACGTGTTTCATGTTAAAAATAACACACAAAGTTCATTCTCTATTTGTTGTCAGATTCGACCCATAGTAAATTAATCAATGTTGGGCATAAAATGTCCCAAAACCTCAAAACACACGGAAAAACAAGCTGTATAACGTCAACAGGATACCTTCCTGCGATATGCAAATGACACCCAGGCGCTATGCATTCTGGGAATGGGAAACTCGTGAATAAAAAAGGCTAATCTGTACTTACTCTGTTGAGTATCTTTCAGCACCAAGGACAGGTTTAATATTGATATGGCACAGACAGGTGTTCCATAGGGCAAGAGTATTGTTGCCTGATTGATTTTCAAATAGTTCTTTTTTCACGTTTGAATTTTTTTCACTCCTGCAATATTTAGCGCTCCCTATTTGTTATTTACAGCGAAGCATATACCTTAACAATGTAAATTAACGCACTTGTCATTGGACAACGTTACCGAGCCCTGACATATGCGCAAACGCACCTTTTGTCAGTGAGAACCTGCATAATAGCCTGGTACAACGTTTTTGTTGTGAACGTGTTGAAGTCTAGCCTCACTCCCAGCCCTCTGGAGACCACCCGAGCGGCGTTGCCGTGCTGTTCAGCGACCAGCGGTGTAGAGACCCCGTGGTACAGGGCCTCGAACATACCGTTAGAGCCGGTAGGGGTGACGAAGGCTTTGGTTTTCGGATGGCCTGAAAAAAAAACAAGTTAAGGATAATCCATTGTTCGTTAAAAGTTGTTGTTGGGAAATAATGAAAAACACGTTCTGTAGACCTTACAGGCTTAGTGTTGTCTCAAACTTTCCTTTTGGTTGGCTAGACTTGAATTTTACGAAACTTGAGGTACCAAAACACATATTTAGTCATGACACAGAGCATGCTTTCTATAGCTTAAACAAACCAACCAACGAACCAACCAACAACCAACAAACAAATCAGTCGGTTTTATAAACGAAACTTTACCTTTCTGATCCTTTAACAAATGTACACAAGATATAGATAATTTTGAAAAAAAATCTTATGTAACAATTATTAATATTACATCCAAAAGACACATAGATTCAATTACAAATTAAAGTTGGAAAACAATACATCTAATATAACATAATATACAAAAGACACATATAAAATTATTTACAAAAGATATACACAAAGTTAGAAAACAAAATACATCTTAATAACATAATATACAAAAGACACATATAAAATTATTTACAAAAGATATACAGAATGTTAGAAAAAAGTACATCTAATATAAAATAATATACAAAAGAGACATTAAAAATTATTTGCAAAAGATATACACAATGTGGGAAAACAAAATACATCTAATATAACATACATCATACAACAAACAAAATACATCTAACATAAACAAACAAACAACCAACCAAGCAACAACCCACCACAAACGAAGAAGCAACAAACCAACCAACCAACCAACAAACCAACAAAAACCAACAAACCAAAAACCAACCAACAAGAAACCAAACAACCAAGAAACCAAGAAGCCAACCAACAACAAACCAACCAGCCAACAAACCAGGAAACCAACCAACAACAAACCAACCAACAAACAAACAAACCAACCAACAAATAAACCAACCAACAAACAAACCAGTCGACGTGATAAACTAAACTTTACATTTCTCATTCTTTTACAAATTTACACAAGATATAGATAATTTTGAAAAAAAATCTTATATAACAATTATCAATATTACATACAAAAGACACATAAAATCATTAACAAATCAAAGATATACATAATGTTGGAAAACAATACATCTAATATAACATAATATACAAAAGACACATATAAAATTATTTGCAAAAGATATACACAATGTGGGAAAACAAAATACATCTAATATAACATAATATACAAAAGACACTTAAAAAATTATTTACAAAAGATATACACAAAGATAAAAACAAAATACAGCTAATATAACATAATATACAAAAGAAACATATAAAATAATATACAAAAGATATACACAATGTTGGAAAACAATAATGTAATATAACATAATATACAAAAGATATCCAACAAACCAAACAACAACAAACCAACAAACAAACTAACCAACCAACAAACCAAGCCAAGAAACCAGCAAACGAACAACCAACAAACCATCCAACAAAGCAAAAAACCAACCAACCAACCAACCAACAACAAACCAACAAACCAACCAACAGCAAACCAAAACCAACCAACAAAGAAACCACCCAAAAAACAAACAGGGCAACAATCCAACCAACCAAGAAACCAAAAAAACAAGGAAACCAACCAACCAACCAACCAACCAACCAACAAACCAAGAAACCAACCAACATCAAACCAACCAGCCAACAACCCAAGAAACCAACCAACAACCAACCAACAAACAAACCAACAAGCTAACAACCCAAGAAACCAACCAACAACAAACCAACTAACCAACCAACCAATCAACCAACCAACCAAACAACCAACCTAACCCACCAACCTACCAACCAACCAACAACGGTGTGTTGTGAAGAGAGGAGAGTTGTGTGTTGAGGTGTGTTGTGAGAATAGAGGAGAGTTGTGTGTTGTAGTGTGTTGTGAAAATAGAGGAGAGTTGTGTGTTGCGGTGTGTTGTGAAGAGAGGACAGCTGTGTGTTGCGGCGTGTTGTGAGAAGAGAGAAGAGTTGTGTGTTATGGTGTGTTGTGAACAGAGGAGAATTGTGTGTTATGGTGTTTTGTAAAGAGAGAAGAGTTGTGTGCTGTGGTGTGTTGTGAAGAGAGGAGAGTTGTGATCAATCCAAATCAATTAAAAATCAAAATCAAATCAAATCAAAATCAACATCAACAAACAGTTGTGTGTTGCGGTGTGTTGTGATGAGAGGACAGCTGTGTGTTGTGGTGTGTTGTGATGAGAGGAGAGTTGTGTGTTATGGTGAGTTGAGAGGACGGTTGTGTGTTGTGGTGTGTTGTGATGAGAGGAAAGATGTGTGTTGCGGTGTGTTGTGATGAGAGAAGAGTTGTGTGTTGCGGATGTTGTGAAGAGAGGAGAGATGTGTGTTAGGGTGTGTTGTGAGAGAAGAGAACCAAGAGCCAACCAACAACAAACCAACCAGCCAACAAACTAGGAAACCAACCAACAACAAACCAACCAACCAACAAACAAACCAACCCACGAACCAACCAACAACCAACAAAGAAACCAGTTGGTTTGATAAACTAAAATTTACATTTCTCATTCTTTTACAAATGTACACAAGGTATAGGTAATTTTTAAAAAATCTTATAATAACAATTATCAATATTACATACAAAAGACACATAAAATCATTTACAAATTAAAGATATACATAATGTTGGAAAACAAAATACATCTAAATAACATAATATACAAAAGACACATATAAAATTATTTACAAAAGACATACACAATGTTAGAAAAAAAATACATCTAATATAAAATAATATACAGAAGAGACATTAAAAATTATTTGCAAAAGATATACACAATCTGGGAAAACAAAATATATCTAATATAACATAATATACAAAAGAAACATATAAAATAATTTACAAAAGATATACACAATGTTGGAAAACAATAATCTAATCTAACATAATATACAAAAGACATCCAACAAAGCAACCAACAACAAACCAGACCAACAAACCAAGCAAAGAAACCAACCAACAAATAAACCAAAACAAACCAAGCAACGGACCAACCAACCAACCAACCAACCAACCAACCGAGAACAAACCAACCACCCAGAAAACCAAGAAACCAAGAAACCAACAAAGAAACCAACCAACAACCAACAACCCAACCACAAACCAACCAACCAGCCAACCAACAAACAAACAAACATACCAAGAAACCAACCAACCAACCAACCAACCAACCAACAAACCAAGAAACCAACCAACATCAAACCAACCAGCCAACAACCCAGGAAACCAACCAACAACCAACCAACCAACAAACAAACAAACCAACCAACAAATAAACCAACCAACAAACAAACCAGTCGACGTGATAAACTAAACTTTACATTTCTCATTCTTTTACAAATTTACACAAGATATAGATAATTTTGAAAAAAAATCTTATATAACAATTATCAATATTACATACAAAAGACACATAAAATCATTAACAAATCAAAGATATACATAATGTTGGAAAACAATACATCTAATATAACATAATATACAAAAGACACATATAAATATTACAAAGATATACACAAAGTTAAAAACAAAATACATCTAATATAACATAATATACAAAAGACACATATAAACCATTTACAAAAGATATACACAATGTTGGAAAAAAATCTAATGACATAATATACAAAAGACATATATAAAACCAACCAACAAAGAAACCACCAAAAAAAACAAACAGGGCAACAATCCAACCAACCAAGAAACAAAAAAACAAATCAACAAACCAACCAACAACCAACCAACAAACAAACCAAGAAACCAACCAACATCAAACCAACCAGCCAACAACCCAAGAAACCAACCAACAACCAACCAATCAACAACCCAACAAGCCAACAACCTAAGAAACCAATCAACCAACCAACCAACCAACCAACCAATCAACAAACCAACCAACCAACAACGGTGTGTTGTGAAGAGAGGAGAGTTGTGTGTTACGGTGTGTTGTGAGAAGAGAGGAGAGTTGTGTGTTGTGAAGAGAGGACAGTTGTGTGTTGCAGTGTGTTGTGAAGAGAGGACAGTTTGTGTGTTGCGGTGTGTTGTGATGAGAGGACAGTTGTGTGTTATGGTGTGTTGTGAAGAGAGGAGAATTGTGTGTTATGGT